CCCGTCGTACAGCCAGCTTATGTTCGTGTATGCCGAACCATGCATGTGTCCAGTCCGTCCTGTGTAATTTTGAGAATAGTTTATGCACAGTATGTCATACACTACACCCAACTGCTCACTAGGATTTAATCGGTCCTTGATTTTCATGACTCGGTTGCGCGTGGTAGCCTTGGGCTGGTGTGCAAGTCTGATGCCAAGTTCGACTGCAAGCGCGTAGTCGCTTCTGACAAATTTTTACTGTACGGCAGACTGTGGCATGACGTGCGCCTAAGCTCTGGTTGAGACCTTGGAGTGCGAAGACGTAGGCATGGGCTTATGAAGGCCTTCGGATTGCTCCTTCGCATGATATAGGGCCTCACGTGCTTTTCCTTTCGGGTTAATACGGGGAGTATGGACTCTATTAAAAGGTGGTCTCACGTAGCTTTGTTGGCTGACCCCTTTGTCTCTGACGAAAGACGCCCGTAAGAGTTCGATAGCTCAGATTAACAAAAATTAGAATACAGTTGTTTGACGCGTTCACTTCTGCTTTTCCTGTAAACACATCTGGAATGCAAACATTCGCCTCTATTCGCGAAGTCTTTAGTTTGCAACAATTATCATAGTAAACTTGCTTACTTTCAGACAATTTTGCACCTTCTGATTTATTACTATGCATACAGTATGGGCTGAAAGTCGTGCAACTTTAATTAGGAAATTTAACTTAGTTATTTATTTTATATTTTTTCATATTATTTTGATTCATTGAGAGGATTTATTCCTGGAAAAGCCTTTTCGTTAGAAAAATCGGCTTCTTATTTAGGTTTATTAAGAGAAATGTGCATTATTTTGGCGAAATTGGGAGTAGTCTCACATCAAAGGAATTTTCTATGCTATTTCGTATAACAAAACAAATATTTTATTGTATGTGTCTTATTTTATGGAGGAACCCCAAAATAAGTAGAAAAACTGTCAAATATATCCCCTTAAGAACTATAGAGTTCTGTCCGAAATTGTTCAGACGCAAGTGAAGCCATTTTGTAGGAGTCGCATTTATTTTCAGAAACAAGGGACGATTTATGTTTGAAAAGTTATGTTTAGCTAACCCATGAAGTTTTTTGCACAAAATGCACTAAAAAAAGTTTTGATCGCATTTTTCATATTGCATCAACCTAGATGGCACACAATCAAAGTGTCGGTATATGTAACCGTTTAGGTAATGTTGAGCAGGCCTTATTAAATGTTAGTAATATAGAAATATGCTTTTTTGTACACTATACCTTCCGCTTACGCGTTAATTAGAAACTGAAAAGACAGTAAATAATAATTAGTTCAAAAAACGACCCTACATATGGCCACGCTTTTTGTATTCACAAGCTTATAACAGATCATGGAAGTAATCCACTATGGCAGAAAATAATCCATTATAAAGAGAATAGTAAGTCCTTTCATATCCTACCAAGTAGAATAGTTTATCTTCAGGTAAATTTTAAAAGAATTTCAAGTATAAAATTTAATTTTGACATAAGCTTAAAAAATTTAATACACAGAGAAAATCGACAGCTGACTAACTTATTAAAGCATTTTTGAAGACAACCAATTATAGAAAGTTTTTTATTAATCTTAGTAATAACAACGTCAGAACATTTTGACTAAAGGAAAGTCTTTATATAAATAGTGCGGTTACGTAAAGTTTTCAACAAGATGAAATATTTAAATTTACTGCTCTAATTTAGAGCAATTTTTTATATCTCTAGAACTTGCAGATTGTCTGGAAATTTATATTTTTCTTAAAAAACTGTAAGTACTTCGTATACTTCTTTTAAGTTTTAAATATGCCTACTGCTGTTCATTATTATTTCTAATTTTTTCGTAATGCGTTCACGCCAGTATGTACTTAATGATCAAAGTTTAAGAAATTTAAGAAAGTTACACGACTTTTAGCCCACACTGTGTATATCATCAATAATTAGCAGAGTGGTATAATAATTACTAAAAATACTAGCTGACGACTCATACGGCTGCTAACTTCCATAGCTGTAGAAAGTTGAATGCAAAGTTATAGTTTCTTGACATTGTTATCGCGCGGCTTGTCACAGAAAAGGATACAATGCCCTTTGTACAAATATGAATGCTTTCTATTAAATTATCGGTGCTTTAAAAAAATAGTGTCAGAAAAGTTGTTTTCTGCCTTTTGGGTTAAAGATGCCTACTTGTTTCTTGAAAAGAATACTATTTTCCATGCCTGACTTCATATACTTTCCTTGAACGCGAATTTCACATTTTTCCCTCCAGGTGAAACTGTTCTTTTGCACAAATAAGATGCTTTGGTTTGTCATAGCCAAAATAAACTAAAATTGAATTCTGCATGGGTAAAAGTTTTTATACGTCTCAACTCAATCCAAAACTGATAGCATAAAATATCTGCCATAGTTGCTATACGCATTTCGGTCTCTGGATTTCGGGAGTTTTTCCATTTGATTAAAGTTTCTGAGAGAAATAGAGGACGACAAGCACAATGCTGCCGTAGGTGGGATTTTAAATGGCCGTCTGACGATTGCCAGCCCCTCAGAAATTGTCACTCTATTTATCCCGGTATGTACTTCTGTATCAATACAGTTAATATGCGACCGTCTGCAATAGCCCTTAACCGAGCTCCAAGATGAAACAGAAAGAGCACTCCTCGTTACGATGGCTAACATTTTTTGCAGCCAAATAACTTCTTACAGAATAAAAACATATCTAACTACGAACGAGTAGAGTTCTAGGATTAACATGAAAAAGACAAAGTCGACATGGTATGATGCAGGAATAGGAACAAGATCTCAGTAATAATGATAATACTGGCAACATTTGAGGCGGTGTACCTATGCTAGTATTCTAACTCTAACTTAAACTATTAATGCCAAGTTTATTGGAATTGAGCACAAGGAAATATGCATCACGAGGCCTTCTTATTGCCACGTTTGCTCCCAAGAAGTAGTCGCGACAGGAACCTAACGACTGAGCCATGGGCACGTTTTATTATCGGTTCGTTCCTTCTATGCCTTGTGGATCACTCCCAAGTCCCGCCAGCAGCCATACAGTTAAGGCTAGGAGTGTAGGCAGATAAAAGGTGCCGATAGAGACAAAAACGACTGGAACGGCCAATTCTGGCTCATTAGCTCTCTTCAGTCAGTCGTACCCATCCTAGTTGTTGCACCAACCAAGGCTGGAGGGTCGGAATTTTAGACTTCTGCTTAACAGGCTTTGGATTCAAGTCTCTGGTGGTGCATCCTCTAGGGTTGGTATGTCTGGCTGATGACAGCTAATGA